GCATCCGATTGATCAGAAAACAGGATGTGAGGACGGCATCACTCCAAAAATGCTTTGGGACATTCATATTAAGCATCAAGGACCGAGCAATTTCAAGGAGATGTCGATTTTTCCGTTCAGCTACACCATTTTGTTGTGGGGTGTAGGCACAAGAAGTTTGATGAATTATCTCATGGTACTCTAAGTATTGCTGAAATGGTGATGAGTTGTACTCTTTGGCATTATCGGAACGAAGAAATTTAATATGAACACCAAATTGGGTGCGTATTTCAGCATAAAATTTTTGAAAAATAGAAAACAATTCACTACGATCTTTCATAAGATAAATCCATGTCATCCTTGAAAAATCATCAACAAAAATTACAAAATACTTATATCCATTGTATGACATCACTTTGATTGGACCCCAGACATCAAAATGAACTAAAGAAAAAGGACTCAAGACACAACTATCAACTCTTGGACTAAAAGAGACTCTATGATGTTTCCCCAGTTAACATGACTCACAATCCAACGATGAAAGATGACTCAAGGAAGGGACCAGCAACTTCAGAGCCTTGAGAGAAGGATGACCAAGTCTGCAGTGCCATTGAAGAGGAGTAAGAGACGACTGAAAAGCTACTGAAGGGCCACCACCATCAAGGTAATACAATCCACCTGCCTCATGCCCTCCACCAATGTTCATCCCCGTCTTGAGATCCTGCAACACACAAGAAGAGGGATAAAAGGTTATAGAACAATTAAGAGACTTGATTAATCTACTAACAGACATAAGGTTAAAAGGGAACTTGGGAACATATAAAATAGATGATAAAGACAAGGAGGAGAGATCAACATCACTAACACCATAGAAGGGAGATGTAGAACCATTAGCAAGTGTAACTGTTTGAGATGTGGAGGGCCGAGAAAGGGAAGAAAATACATTAGGAGTCCCAGACATATGGTCCGAGGCTCCGGAGTCAATGATCTAGTGTGGGGGCTTGGAAGCTAAGCAAGTCATACCTGAAAGGGCAAGGGTAGTGGTGTTCTGCTAAGATGTCTGAAGGAACTGCTCATATACTACATGGGGTACACTCACCATTTCCTTCCCAGAAGCACCAGTAGATGTGGAGGGGATCGGGTCAGTTTGCTGGCTTTCAGTAATTGTACCACTACCCTTAGTCATAGCATGGTTAGCCCAAGTGTTGGGTGGGCCACGTAAATCATAGCAAAAATTAAATGTGTGCCCCTCTAAACCACAGTGTGTACACTTCCTAGGGGCATTACTTCTTCCTTTACCACGACCTCCCCCTAAGTCTCGACCTCCACTCCGGCCACCAGCACGGTTAAACATGGGATCACCACGGTTGCCTAGAAGTCCACTACTACCACCACCACCTCTATTTCCACGGCCACCCCCTCTAGTCACCACAAAACCAGATCTGTCCGAGAGAGAGGAATGCTCTACATACTCAATAGATGTCCTCTTAAGACAGGCAAAAACTTCTTCAAGTGAGGGAAGAGTAGACCCCCCCAATATTTGTGCTTGGATAGGCTCATACTCAGCCTTCAAACCCACCAGAAACCTTGTCACATCAAGTTGTTCACGCTACTGTTGTTGAATCTGAACATCCGATGTCAGAGGATTATACACATTGAGCTCATTTCGGATATTCCTTAGACTTGCATAGTATTCCTCCAAGCTTTGACTGCCTTGCTTCAGATTAAAGTACTCTTGGTACAATTGATATACCCTAGTTGTATTGTCTTGTCCAGAGTATAGCTTCTTAGCATGATCCCAGATTTCTTTAGTTGTATCTAGGAACATAAAGTTCACACTAATTTTTGGTTCCATGCTGTTCCATAGCCATGTCATTATTTGTGCATCTTCCTGTTCCCARTCACTGAACCCMGGAGAATCAGAGGAAGGTTTCTCCTCTCTCACATGTTTTACCTTTCTCTTGGCCTTTAAGAACACCTCCACAGATTTTGCCCACGACACATAATTCTCACCATTCAGCTTAATAGATGTCATTTGAACACTTAGGTAGTCTGGAGAAAGCATGACGCCTGTTTTATTGTCATTCCCATCTCCAATCGATGCCACTTTAACTAATTCACCTTCAAATATGCAACACAACCTCACACACTTCCACAAAACTTATCTCACTTACAGCACCACCAACTTCTTCAAATACACATTGTACATCAAATACTAAAGCTGAAATCACTCGGTCATTACAACAAACACCTGTACTGCACACTGCAGAACCATTCACCCACCAAAATACAAGGGCTGAAGTCACTCAGTCATTAAATCAAACACTTGTACTGCATACTGCAGAACTGTTCACACACAAGATCCAAGGGTTCACTTTTAAATATTCAGAATCATCGATACACCATTCAACACAATACAACTACCACCACACCACTGCTGTCGTGAACTTCAACAGTCGAAAAACCCTACTTTCAGCACACATATGAGGTAAAACAGAGAACAGGACTGATATGCATAATAGTCACTCCAAACCTCCACAACAAAAAAAAAAAAAAAAAAAAAATTGAACCAAAACACAGCATTCACCACCACAGTAACTGGGCAAAAAACAGCACTGTTCATACCTGTCCACAAACAACCCTCTTCGTATCACTGAATAGAGGGCGTCTAGTACACAACTTCAACGATCACCACCACAGTAACTGGAGGCATTCTCACCTCCAAAACCACAAAATGACGAATCCTTTTTGGCCCCTTGTCGAGCTTCCACTCGCTAGCAGAAAATTGAGGAAAGCTGAAATGGTTGGCGGCGAACCCAGGAAGAAGACAGCAGCAAGGAAGAAYGAAAGRAGAACAAGGTTTTACCGCTCTGATACCATGTAAGAAAACCCTATTCGATTCTAGGTTAAAGTAGAGAAGAAGAAGAAGAAGAAGAAGAAGAAGAAGAAGAAGAAGAAGNAAGAAGAAGAAGAAGAAGAAGAAGAAGAAGAAGAAGAAGAGAAGAGAAGAAGAAGGGTCCGGCCAGATTAGGAAGAAGAAAATCAGTCCTTCCTAGCCGACCCACTTGTATTTATTTCAAATAATAGAGTTACAAGAAAGACCATATTGTCCCTCATGAAAGATGGGACACATAACTTAAACTTAAATAAAATAGACCTTTCACCCTCAAACAGATAAACCAAAATGACCAAAATACCCCTGATTCATGTATTCTAACAAGTTTATTTGCCATGTAAGCATTAAGGGAAATTTAGCCTTTTTTTACAATTAGTAAACATATAAATATTAAGAGTGGGTCGGCAGATTGATTTGATTCGACCCTCTCTCTCCCTTTTCTAAAACCCTTCGTGTGCTTCTGCTTCTCCCTCTTTTCTTCTTTTCTCCATCTGAAATCCTTCTTTTACTTTCGGATTCAAGACTGATTGTAGTCTTGATCGACTACTTGTTTTATGTTTCTTTTGGGGTGTTGGGTTTAGTAAGAGTTTTGTGTGGTTGATGTGATGGATTTGGGTGTAAGGTTTTCAAAGAAAGCGTTTGAGGGATTGTCGGTCCTTAGTTTTGTTTGGAGGTTCCTCAACACCTCTCTAGGTTGTAATCGCTTTTTTTTTAATGAATTTTCTTTTTACTATCAAAATAAATAAACAAGTAAAAGAATACAGAAAAAACAAACAAAAAAGGAACTTCTTTTTTTATTTTTGTGGTATTTATTTCTTCTTTATCTGATTGTGTATATGCCATGGCTTGCAAGAAACGCAATATTTCTTACTTGTTCTTATTAATAATAAGTTATTGCCTTTATTGGTCAAAAAAAGTTTAAAAAAAAAAAGGAACACAGCATTTCAACCTTCTGGATCTGCTTTGAGGAGGAGACAAATTGATTTACAAGTCAACATTATTGAGCAAATCACCTTGTTGTCCGCATTAATCTGCAACCAGCACTTGATTTTCAACATTATTTGATCTGAACTCTGGTTTCTTACAGGTCTTGCATTGAATCTTGATGTTCTAGTTTCCTAAAATTATAGATATTTAGGGATCTTAATTTCTCACTTTTTGTTTTTCTTGATGCAAGAACCTTGAGTTCCTGACTGCTGTCCCACAGATTCAGTCTGCTTATTGGTTTCTAATTACAAGATTTTTTTTGATAAATAACAGCAATTTCATTAAGCAAAACACAATAAAAGATACGAGTTCAACACAGCCCTCCACCAAAGAAGCTTAACAACCAGATAAAAAGAACAAAAAGAGACAGAAAAGTAAATTTACAGATTACAAGCTGGTCCTGGGCAACCCAAACTAAAACATCTTTCCAAACCCCAGCTCTAGCCAATAAATCAACCACTGTGTTAGTACACCTAGCCTCCTAGGCACCCACTTTAATGAGGTATTCATAGGGCCACCAAAGGACTGAGCTAGTCTCACTAGTGGTTCTAATAACCTGATGATTGATCTCAAGAGCAGTCCTTAAATACTCTAGCAGACCTTCACTTCTTCATTTTCCTAATTTTATATTTCTATCTTTCAAAATCCATAACCTTCACTTCTTCTAGTCTGAACTTTTGCTATTGACCTGACACTCCCAATTTCATCAAAGCATAAACCCCAAGAGACTTTCAGAAAACCCCAACAGTTTCCCTTCCTTTGTTGTTACCTTGTCATGTCCTGTATCAGTTTAATGCCTTTTACAATTACTAGCTAATAACTTTAATAAATAACAGACTACTACTGGTGCCAAGAATATCAAACAATTGAGGTTACATTGTGGTATTGTATCAAAAGGAAATTTACCAATAAAAGATTGTTCAAGCATATCCGAAACACACCCTTTGTGCGTCTAAGAAAGGATCAAAGGAAATCCTCCCTTGTTACATGATTAATAAGTCACTTGATGCACGCATGAAGAAAATTTGCAGATAAAATGGGACCAATATGAAAAGAAAGTGACACAGTATATACAAACTAAATCTTACGGGTGAAGTTCACAGAAAAAATAAAAATAAAAAAAATAACACTTCATTACCGCCTCCATTCTTCTAATTTCATAGCGAGCATACTGAGCCACCAAATAGACAGCTGTTACAAGAAATACTCCTTTTAGATAGCAATATCAAAGGTGAAACTTCAGATATATAAATGAGTAATTAGAGAATTGAGATACCCAATGAAGGCATGCAGGCAAAGAAGAGCTGTACCAGGTGGAAATCAAGCCTAGCAAATAGGAAGACATATGAGAACATTTACCAAGAATTTCAATTAAGAATGTAGACAATAACAGGTTGGCAAAGAAATATATCAAGTTTGTAAAGAAATTTCCAGCAGATAACACATTTTACTATTTTCTTGTATTTTTTTATCAGAAAAAAGATCAAAGAGGTTCCTATGATGAAAAGTAGAAAAAGATCTAGCCTCCTATTTGAGATGTCAAAATTGCCATCATAATCATCATCATCATCACCCAAGCTTTATCCCAACTATATGGAGCCAGCTACATGAATCCCGTTTTACTATTTTGTTCTGTTAAAATCAATATCAATTGTCGAAGTATTAGTGTTTCAAGTGTAATACTGCCATGGAGTATTAAAAAAAGTAAGCATCCACCTTATAACCACTTGGAAAGTTTCCCTATCTAATCACAAAGACAATCATTCTGAGACCCTTAAGAGAGCTAAGTAGCCAACATCTTGATTTGAATATTTTATAGGATTCCCTTCCCCAGTTGAACTGAAAACTGCAATGAACTAGTTGAAAATTACACCTACAGTAATTCAGATAACGCAAGAAAAGAAGAAAAGAGAGATAGAGAAAGAAGAAGAAAGAAGTTTCAGCAATAGGTTGTGGAAGAAGAAAAGAAGGGAAGAGAGGAAAGTAGAATTCAAACCTCTCTCTCTAGCCCCCTTTCATCACTTTTATTAATAATTCTTAAGTCTGAGTACAATTACTTGGATGCCCTTAATGGGGCAGCTAGCACTAAAGAAATAATTAAGAAAATAAAAGAAGGCCCATAACTAAGAAACATAACTTTTAAATACTACTTAAAAGAAATAAAGAACACGAAGGCCCATTCGGCCCATTCTCACTACACTCCCCCTCAACCTGAGCATAGATGCCAATCATGCCCAGCTTGCTTACATAATGTTGAAGCTTTGCCTTTGGGACTCCCTTAGAAAATCTGTTAGATGCTCTTTTGATGCAATGAAAGGTAGGCACACCTCTCCTGAAGCCACTCTCTCCTGTATAAAGTGTCTATTTTCCTCAATGTGTTTAGTTCTATGATGCTGAATTGGGTTGTGAGCAATGTTAATAGCAGATTGGTTATCACAATACAAAACAAGTGGCTCGTCACATGAAACAACCATCTCATTAAGGAGAGATCTAAGCCATAACAAATCAGAAACACCAAGGGCCAAAGCTCTATACTCTGCCTCAGCTGAAGATCTAGCAACCACTGATTGCTTTTGCTTCTTCAGGAAACAATATTTCTGGCTACCATAGCACAATATCCTGATGTGGATCTCCTGTCATCCACATTTCCTGCCCAATCATCATTTGTATATGCTTCTACCTTCATGTGTCCATGTTTAGCAAATAATATACCCTTCCCAGGGGTTCCCTTAAGGTAACATAACACCCTTTCTGCAACAGCCATATGTATGTCTCTAGGAGCATGCATGAACTAGCTAATAACACTCACAGCATATGAAATGTCTAAACGAGTCATACATAGATAAAGAAGTTTCTCCAGTAATCTCTGAAACACTTCCATGTCAGCTAAAAGTTCTCCATCATTAGCTAAGAGTTTATGATTCACATCAATAGGGGTAGAGGCAGCTTTAGCACCAAGTTTTCCAGTCTTAGTAAGAAGGTCTAGCACATACTTCTGTTGAGAAATAAAGATACCTTCCTTGGAATAGCAACCTCAATGCCTAGAAAATACCACAACTCCCCTAAATCTTTAATTTCAAATTCAGAACTGAGAAACTTCTTGAGAGAACTAACTTCTTTTGTATCACTGCCAGTAACCACAATATCATCTACATAAGCTATAAGAAATGTCACCTGAGTGTCTTTTCTTTAACAAAGAGGGTATGATCTGATTGAGTCTGAGTGTAGCCGAACTGAACAAGAGCAGCCCTAAACCTATTAAACCAAGCACGTGGAGATTGTTTCAGGCCATAAAGTTATTTCTTCAATCTACACACCTTACCCTGCATTTCCTTGCCATATATGCCAGGAGGAAGGGACATATATACCTCTTTAGTGAGATCACCATTCAAGAATGCATTCTTAACATCAAATTGATACAAAGGCCAATCATAGCTCACTGCTAAGGATAAAAGAACTCTCACTGAAATCACTTTAGCAATTAGAGAAAAGGTCTCAAACTCTCAGTGTAATCTCTCCCATATACCTAGGTATATCCCTTGGTAACAAGCCAAGCCTTATACCTCTTAAATTGACCCATCTACATGATACTTGATAGTGAAAACCCACTTGCACCCAACAGGCTCCTTCCCAACTGACAAGTCAACAATATCCCAGGTATTGTTTTTATGAAAGGTTTCTATTTCAGTACTCATTGCATCCCTCCAATCTAGTGTGTCTAAGGCTTCTGAAACAAACTTTGGGATGGATTGAGAGGAAATGGAGGCTAGAAAGCCATAGTAGGATGGGAATAAGTTGTAGGAAAAGTGTTTGGAAATACAATGAGTTGTATATTTCCTCTTACCTTTTCTCAAAGAAATGGGTAAGTCAAAGTCTGGAAACGAGGGTGTTGGTGGATGAGGTGATGGACATGTCCTCTCTTCAGTAATCGGGAGTGCTTGAGACTCAACTGGAGGTGTGGGATCAACCTGTGTTTGCCTTAGCCTTTGCCGCTGGTACCACCTCTGAAGAATAGGATGAGTGGAAACAACTGAGGACTAGCATGAGGAGGGAGAGCAATAGGAAGGGAAGACCTCAAAGGAGATGATCCATCCACGAGAATGGGGATAATTTTGGATGGCTCAACACAAGACTCAACTGGAGTTGGCAAAGGAAGGGATGAAGAAAACAACTCAAGAGATCTCTCCCCCTCAGAAGGATGGCTATAAAAAGGAACTGACTCTACAAATGTGACATCCATGGAAACAAACCGGGTGCCACTAATGGGATCGAAACAACAATACCCTTTCTATGTGGAGGCATAACCAAGGAAGATACACTTCTGAGCCTTGGGGTCAAACTTGTGTCTTTTGGAACTGGGAATGTGGACATGCAACCAAAGACCCTTAAAGGAATAGAGAAAATATCAACATCAGGAAAGAGGACTCCAAAAGGAGATCTTAACCCCAAGACTCGAGAAGGCATGCGGTTAATAAGGTAGGTAGTTGTTAAAACTGCATCACCCCAAAACTTCAGAGGAACATGGGTAGCAAAAAGAATGTTCCTTGCAACTTCCACAATGTGTCTATTCTTCCTCTCTGCTACTCCAATTTGTTGTGGAGTGCGGGCACAAGAACTCTAATGAATAACCCCAAACTTCTCAAGATAAGAGGTAAGGTTGTTCTCAAAATATTCCTTAGCATTGTCTGAACAGAATATTTTGATGCGGGTATTAAACTGAGTATGTGTTCATGGAGCTGTTGCACAAGTTTAGGCACTTCAGCCCGAGAGAGCATAAGATAAATCCAAATATATCGTGAAAAACCATCAATAAACAAGATGAAATATTTATACCCATCCATACATGGTAAATGGTAAGACCCCCACACATTAGAGTAAACAATATTAAAAGAAATAGTTGATCTTTTATTACTTGAAGGATAAGTGCTCTCACAATGAATACTCGATAGACTAATTCCTTTAAATAACTCTAGAAACAACTGACTCAATTAAGAAAAGTGTTAGACAGTTTTGTATGCCCTTAGCTACAATCCGATTTGATGTACTTTTGTTATTTAGTGGAAATAAATAAAGTGCATGTTTGATTCATGTTSTTTGGTTTAATTCTGTGTAAAGACCCTAAAACTGGACACTTATAGAGACTCGTGTTAGTTTTAAATGTCCACAGCCATTGGATAAGTCTGGGGAGATTTATCCTGCCAAGGCTGATACTGGTGTGCCACCAAGTGTTGGGATGGCCTGTCTCGGCCACC